GTGGCCGGTCTCAATGCATTTCTGGGACACCCACGAAATCCTGGAATGTTGACGACACTCCGGATCTCCGACGAACATCTGGATCGTTGACGAACACCTGGAACACTGGCGAACAACAGATGCTTTCCCCCTCTCCCGTGCGTGACGAGGACGCCGTAGCCGTTCCCCACTGGCCGTCACTTTTATCAGCACACATGCTAGCTGCACTCGTCGTCGGTCCTGTGGCGCAACGGATAACGCGTCTGACTACGGATCAGAAGAATCCAGGTTCAAATCCTGGCAGGATCGTGAAGGCCCTCCTTTTGAATCATCTCAACACGCCTTGTTTTGACCACGCCAGTGCGTGTGCGCGCACTCGGGAGGAGCTCGGGGCTCACCTTTTCGGGGCTGCCGCTAGGTGGCTCCACCGTCCAAAGACGGGGGCGAGACGCGTCCTTTCCAGGCCCGCTCCGAGGCAGCACAGCAGCAGCCCAGCACCGGCCTTGGTCTCACGTCATCGTGAACTACTACTGCCATCGGCCTGTGTCACAGCCGGGTCAGCGGGGTGGAAAGGCAGCCACTGGCAGACCACTCGGAGGGTGCGCGAGGCGCGAACGATGTGACCGCGCCGAACAGCGGTATATATGCAGTGCGCCGCGCGCCCGGTCCTTGTACTCGCTTCGGCGGTACATATACTAAAATTGGAACGATACAGAGAAGATTAGCATGGCCCCTGCGCAAGGATGACACGCAAAATCGTGAAGCGTTCCACATTTTTTGACCGCTTGCGTGAGAGGCCGCCTTGTCACTCGGCCCAGTCATCTTCGCCTTTGCGGCGACATGACAGTGCGACGAGAAGCAGACCACGTCCCGAACCGCAGAGCCTCATCAGCATCGGTGGTTCAGTATTCAAAAGCATTTTATTGCATAATAAGTTTTGTTGGTTACAGTTTAGAAATAATAATAAGAAGCATTGCAAGAGTGTTACTTCATACCTAGGGTTTGAGGAGCAAATTGATATTAAGTTACATTAAAAGAGTATAGAATAAATAGTACAAGTAGTATAAGCTGTGTCTTGGTTCACAGTCTTGAAAGTAGAAAGGAATTTACATTGAGTTTAAGTTAAATAATAAAATAAATAAAATTGTGACCAGGGACTTGCACTTGAAGACTCCGTCCCTGGAACACAAGTACAAAAGGAATTAAAAGCAGAGAAAGCTCAGGGCTAGTTACATTGAATGCAGAATGCTCGCCTGCCACGCGGGCGGCCCGGGTTCGATTCCCGGCCGATGCAATTTTGTCGCCAGCCGACTCCAATGGATCAAGATACGGCATCGGCGTAGGCGACGAGACACTTGGAGCTGTGAAGTGGAGGCGCATTATCATCGGCCTCCGTGGCGCAATGGTTAGCGCGTTCGGCTGTTAACCGAAAGGTTGGTGG